ACTTCGGACCAGTGCAACATCAGAATTTGATCTCCCAGGAGTTGCATCCCAAAAGACCCTTCCGAGGGCCACATCGCCATAGGAGTGTAAGAAGGCAGGTGTCGCGAGGCACAGGACACAAGGGTACCCTTTGGCTGGCAGGGTCGACCTGCTAATCCGGGCCGCCTGTAGCGTCGAGCTCCAAGTTCGCCTGCCGCATCTCGCCGAGCAGCACCAGAGCTCGCTGCCACTGCTCGCCCTTCTCGCACGCGCTGATCCCAGCGCTGCAGGTGATGACATTGGGCTCCAGCGTCGCCTCCCGCATCTCGCCGAGCAGCACCAAAGCTCGCTGCCACTGCTCGCCCTTTTCGCACGCACTGATCCCCGCGCCGTAGGTGATTATATTTGGCTTGAGCTTCGCCTCCCGCATCTCGCTGAGAAGCGCCAGCGCCCGCTGCCATTGCTCGGCTTTCTCGCACGCGCTGATCCCAGCGCTGTAGCTGACTGGGGGTGACACATGGACTGCATCCACAAAGCCTGCACGCAATTGCAGACATACGAAGCAATGCTGATATGAGAACGCGGATCTCGAACGACGCAGTCCACGCCTGATACTGCGTACTGTCTATTGCTGCCGCTGTTGTGCGCTTCAGGCCACGATTGCCATTGCCACGTGTTGTTGCTGCCTGTGGCTGCAAGGTACTGCTGATGGCTACACTGTGTGCTGCTGCCCGTTCCCGCATGTCGCCGCTGTTGCTGCATATTTCAAGCTGCTGGCTATTGTTGCTCGCTGTTGCTGCTTGACGCTGCCGTGTGCTGCAGTGTGCTGCTTATCGCTACTCCAACTTGCTGGCACAACCGCTGCTGACCGGGAAAATATCGAACAACGACTAGCGAGGGTCGATGCGATCGAGGAGTGAGGTCGGAGAAACGAGGAGGGAACAGCAAGGCGGGAGAAAGGAGGAGCGAGGAACGAGGAGAGAGGGACGGTGAGGGAGGAGGGCGAGACGGGGCGGGAGAAGGCAAGTGGGGGGGAGGGAGGTGCGATAAGCCAAGGTGGATGAGCGTGGGGCCAAGAGAGAGGGGCGAGGAGAGAAGAGGAGTGCTACGACATGCGCAATCAGCAAGGAGAGACGGGAGAGCAGAGCGGATCAATGCATGAGCGTAGAGCGAGAAGGGATGGGGGACGATGCAGGAACGGTTGCACCAAGCGGCCTAGAAGAAAGAACGAAATTCGATGCGATAATAACCGGGCGCGGATAGAAGTGATGACAGAAAAGGGAGGAGCACGGACACATAAGCGAGGAGCGAAGAACAATGGGCGAGGTGCGCGGAGCGTGGAGCTGGGAGGGAGGGAGGGTTGACGGGTGGCCAGCACAAGAAACTCACAGTGGCCTCGGCGCGCGTGTGGCCAAGCAAAACTGTGGCCGTCTTGGGGGATCATATCGGGAATCTTGGGCTCGCTTGGGGTCCTTCCGGGCCTTCCTGGGGCCATTTGGGCGGGACCTCTGGGTGCTCCAGAGGCGGAGAAGGGGTATGTGGCCGTCGAACTGGTGTTGCAACAAAAATGACATCGGGCTCCAGACTCGCCACCCGCGTCTCGCTGAGCAGCGTCAGCGCCTGCCGCCATTGCCTAGCTTTCTCGCACGCGCTGATCCCAGCGTTGTAGGTGACTAGGGCGAGCCCGTGGACTTCGTCCACGATGGGCAATGCCCAAGACATTCCCCAAATCCACCAAATTGCAGCTGGCACAATAAAATTCGCCGCCGCGCCCCCTGGCGCGATGAGGAACTAGCGCGGGCACGCGCGCGCGCAATCACACGAGAATTGTGCACCCGCCCGTCGCACGCGCGAGCACGCACACGCACGCGCGCACGCGCGCAAATACACACGCGCACGCGCACTCGTGCACAACGATCACGCGATCACCCCGCGCGCGCGCTGCGGCGCGCGCTGCGAGGTTCTATGCTGTCCATGATAGAAAAGTCGACATGTAATTTCAAAAACTGAATTTGGAATTTCTGGAATGCCTTAAGGGAGGCCGAGGTGACCCACGCGATGGGTGGGTCACCCGCGCGCGCGCGCGCCGCCGCGCGCGCGGCGGCGCGCGCTGTGGAGTTCTATACTGCGCACAAGAAAAATGTCGACCTGTAATTCCAAAAACTGAATTTGTAATTTTTGTGAGGCCTGTACGGAGGCCGAGGAGACCCACGCGATGGGTGGGTCACCCGCGCGCGCGGCGGCGCGCGCTGGGGAGATCTGTAGTGTCCACAATTCAAAAAATCGGCATGTAATTCCAAAAACTGAATTTGATTTTTTGTAGGCCATTATATAAAAGGAGGCAGAGGTGACACGTGTCACTCGCGCGCGGGTGACCATGGCCACGCGCGAGCGCGCGCGCGGAGTTCTGTATTGGCCACTATAGAAGAAACGACATATATTGCCAAAAACTGAATTTGAAATTTCTGTGCGGCCTTATGGGAGGCCGAGGTGACACGCGTCACCGAAACCATCCTCCCTCCTCCCTCCTCCTCCCTCCTCTTCCTCTTGCCCGTCACCGAAATCATCCCCCCTCCTCCTCCCTCCTCCCTCCTCCTTCCTCGCGCGCACGTGCGTCTGCAAACGCATGCACATACATGCAGACGCATACATATGCATATGCAATCTCGCCGCCGTCATCCTCATCGCCAGCGTCCTCATCATGACCATCATCGCGCGTGCGGGGTTTTGGGCTTCCGCACGTTGTACAACTTATGTTTGAGGTCTTAGATTGCGGCATGTTGCTTGTATGCTCAACAGCATGTGTTTTTTATGTTCAACACGCTATCTCTTTTTAGTACGCAACCGCGCGGATTATGCATTACATATAGCCCAAGCGAAAACCCGCCCAATCATCATAGTACTTTTTTTCTCGTGCGACACATGAAACACTTAGCATAATTGGTCGTGACGTGCTTGTTCCAAGTACACGCGAACACTTCGCAGTTCGTGACGTGCTTGTTGTAAGGAAAATAAGTGCAACTCGATCTGGCACTAAGTACTTGTAATTACATGCAAGTACTTACCTTGGGCGCCTAGAAAAGAAAGCTGCCCACTTGCAAGTTCTGCAACCAATTATAGAAGTTTGCAAGGTTGGCCGGACGATAGCATGTGGGTCGCATCGCAAGTGGCTAAGTACTTGTGCACCACGACGAAGTGGGTTGCACACCACAACGAAGTGGGTTGCACACCACAACGAACTGGGTTAGTTCCACCACCTAAAGCGCCTTTCTCCTAGCAGCCGCCAAACTCATCCTAGCAGGTGAGCGAGGTTGGTGGCGCACACCTGGTCGTAGGTGAGGGCCGTCTTGAGGATGCGACGAGAGGTCCGGTGGATCTCGACGCCCGATTCGCTGGGGTCGAGACCCGTCTCCGCCAGCCACCTCTGGTGATGCGCCGTCGGCGTGCCGCTCTGCTGGGCATTAGCTCGGCGACCCAGCGCAACGTGCGCGGTCCCCGCGCGGGCCAGTCTGGCCAGGGCAGCTTCGCCTGACAGCCACGTGGAATCCCATGCCATGTGGCGGATCCCGCGCGCGCCCACCGCCGCGCCGAAGCCCCGGGAGCCCATGCCAGGCCCAGCCGCCAGGGCGCCTGCCGCCGGCGCCGCGGCCGCGACAGCGGGTGCGTCGAAAGAGCTCCAGAGGCCGCCAGCGCCGCGGGAGCGTCCACGGGAGCAGCCGCGGCGCCTGGCGCAGCCGCGGGAAGGCCAGCGCCGGCACCCGGGGCGACGGGCGCGGCCGCAGGCGCCAGGGCCGCAGGCAAAGGCGCTGCCGCTGCGGGGCCGCCAGGAACACCTCCGAGGGCAGCGCAGCTACCAGGCGGCAGGAGCGAGCGGGGGCGACGGCGGCCGCCGCGCCCACTGGGACGCCAGCCCCCGCACGGCCCGCGAGGTCGACCACGATTGGCCCCACGGGCATCGCGCCCGCCCTCGCGTAGGCGGCAGCACGGGCCGCGTCCACCGCGGCAGGCAGTGGGAGGTGCTGGAAAACGTAGACCTCGTGGAGCGCCATCGCGACGGCCGGGGCCCCGAGCGTGCCGCGCGGCAGCACCGTCCACTCTGCGATGTTCGCGATGTCGGCGAGGTCCTCGTCATAGTCGGGAGTGAGGAACCCGATGACGGAGACGCCTCCCGGCACCAGTGCAGTCACTAGCCTGCGGTGCCAGGGCCGACGGCCACGCACTCGATAGCGGACGGCAATGAAGCCGCCCTCGGCGAGGCCCGCCGTCTCGAGCTGGTGTGGTGGAGCGCCATGGCCTCAGCAGTGGAGGGGGGCGGACCGACGAGCTGCGACCTCCGCCCGCTGCGCCCGCGCCTCCTGGGACAAGTCCGTCAGGACGGGCGCGGGGCTCGACGGCACATGCGAGGCCGAGGGGGCGGGCGCCAGCCACCGCTGCACGCTCAGCACCGCAGCGGCACCCAGGGCTGTGTCGAGCCCGAGCAGGGCGAGGCAAGCCCCCAGCGAGGGCCACCTGCTCGCCCCCAGCTCCCGCGGCACGGCGCCCTCGGCGCAGGAGAGCACAGGCGCGCAATGGCAGGCGCACTCTGGACAGGGGACAGCCGAGAAGCGAACGGCGAGAGCGGTCGAGAAGCCCCTGCTGAACTCGGTGAGCAGGGGATCCATGGGAGCCTGGGCTCCCGAAAACTTTGGGCACAATCGCGTCGGACGGCAAGCGCTCCGAGAGAGACGGGCTGACATCCGAGTGCGTCCGTATCCCCAAATTTGCTGAGCATCAAGCGGCATGCATGCATGCATGCATGCATGCATGTATGCATGCATATATGCATATGTGCATGTATGCATGTGTGTATGTATGTATGTATGTATGTATGTATGTATGTATGTATGTATGTATGTATGTATGTATGTATGTATGTATGTGTGTATGTATGTATATATGTATCTATGTTTGTATGCATGTATGTATGCATGTATGTATGTATGTACGTATGTATGTATGGATGGATGGATGCATGCATGTATGTATATATGAGTGTAGGTATGTATGGATGTATGGATGTATGTATGGATGTATGTATGGGTGTATGGATGGATGTATGCATGCATGTATGTATAGATGTGCGTATGTATGCATATATGTATGCATGTATGGTTGTCTATATGTATACATATATGTGACTACGTATGCATATGTAGATACACACAATCGTACACACATCGACATATACATTTACACCGATCCACCTATATATAATATGTGTATGTGGATCTTGAGTTTGGGAGGATGTTCGCTTCCTCGTCTTCTCGGGCGAAGCCCCCAAAAGGCCTCAAAGGCGGCCCTCATAGACAGGCCACGAGGCCGCCAGGGGGGCCAAGCCCGAACTGCCTCCAAGAGGCTCCCGAGAGGCCCCCCAAGAGATCTCACAAACATCCAAGAGGCCTCTGACCTGCAACCCAGGGGCGGTGGCGGAATGGGCCGAATGCTCCTAGTATCCGCCGCCCCCTGCTTGCAGCGGTGCACGGCGTGCTGGATATTTCAGGTTTTGATTTTGGTTCTTTTTCTAAAAGAACTCCCCAGTGGGCTTCGGCCCGTCCCGCCGGCCACCCGTAAATTCCCGAAAATCCGTCTGTCAATGCCCAAAAACGGCAGTTTCGCTCGGGACATCCTCAAAAAATAGCGAAGATGGCCCAAGATGGCCTCCAAGTCCGCCCGAGATGGTCCAAGACGGCCTCCAAAACGGCCCAAGAGAGTCCAAGACGGCCCAAGACGGCCCAAGAGGCCCCCCAGAGGCCTCCCAGACGGCCCAAGAGGCCTCCAAGAGGTCCTCCAGGAGAGTCCGAAGAGGCCAAAATCATTGATTTTCCCTTGGTTTTTGAAGGATTTTGGCATTTGCGCCTTTTCGGCTCTCCGACGGCTCAAGACGGCCCAAGAAGCCCCCAAGATCGCCCAAGAGGCCCCCAAGAGAGCCCCATGATGGCCCAAGTGGCCTCCAAGATGGCCCCTAGAGGGCCCCAAGAGGGCCCAAGAGGCCTCCAACACGCCCAAGATGGCCTCCCAGACGCCCAAGATGGCCTCCAAGACGGCCCTGGAGCATTCCAAGCGGGCCCCAAGTCGGCCCATAGAGGCCCCCCAAACGGCTTCCGACGGCTTCAGACGTGCCAGGAACCCACCAAGATGGCCGAAGTTGGCTCGAAGCTGGCCCGAGACGGCCCAAAAAGCCCCAAAGATCGCCCAAAGCTTGCCCAAGAGGCCTCCAAGACGGCCAAGATGACCTTCAAGATGCCCACGTGTTCCCCGAAGGCTTTCCAAACCGATTCGGGGAACACGTGGTCCGATAGCTTGGCAGGTCTGGCCTCAACGTTCGGCCACATAGGCGCTTCCAAAAAGGCAGGGGGCGGCGGTGATTCGCCGTAGGCGTCTTCGATATCAGCAAGGGGGTTCTCAACACCCAACGGTCCAGAGACGTGCTCCACAAGATGTCGCAGAGCGTTGGATGTTGGAATTCCGGGACCTCAGGGGTATCAAATCCAACACCACCCAACGGAGGCACGTCTCCAACTCGGTGGATTTGGATTGATCGCCCACTGGCATGTACAGCAATGGACGTAAATGATGTTTGGCTCCATCTCCTTATCCGCCATCCCTCTGAGCAACCACAGCGCCAGCCACCACTGCCCGCCTCTCCCGCACGCGCTGATGGCAGCGTTGTAGAGACAGGTGGCATCATCGACGTGCAGATTCGGAGGCGATGCACCCCAGAGCAGCTCCAGCACCGCAACCCACTGCCTCGCCCTCCCATGACTTTTGATGGCGTCCACGACAGCAGGGGTACGCTGTCGATCGAACGCCCTGCTGCCCCGCATGAGCGGGTAACCAGTTGGGGGCAGCTTGAGTCTGGTAAGAGCGCTCGGTACGCAGTGACGGCCCGAATAGGGGCCATGCCCCGCAGGCAAAGACTTGAACGCGATGGACTGACAAAAACAGGCTTGGGGGTTACCGGGAGTTGTCTTGTGTGGCCGACTCTGGGAAGACAACTCGACACAAGCGCAAGTAGGGTGCACCAAAGTACCCTCAGAGTGAGCAGCACTGCATCCACAGGCATTGGGCAGACTCCCAGAAGCCTCCCACACACTGCCCTTCCTCACGACAACCCGCATTGGAATCGTTCCTAGGTGGGCTGGTGGGGATCCGCGAATCGTCAAGAGTTCATCATCGCGCCCGTGCCCCTAATTCTAACCATGCTCCTACGACCTATGCGCGACTACTCCGACTCGTACCAGTAATTACATCCCAACGGCTAATCGTTCCAGCGCCGGAACTCATAGAGCCAATGTGGCATTGCGCACGGCTGAAAACACCCTGCCAACACACTGCCTCACCTCAACTTCCACCCTTGAGTAGGGACCGACCGTCCCGGCATTCTGATAGGCCTACCACGAAATTTTCGTAGAACGCCAAAATGTGCGAACAGAAACAAAAACAAGGTTCTTAGAACGTAAGCCCGATGTGTTGAAACCAGACAGCCTCGGCCAGAACTACGAAAGGATCTTAGAGCGTTCTGTGGTGGGCCTAGTGGCAAGCCAGGACGCTTCACCACTGCTTGACGCCCTACTCACCAGGACGAACACAGTTTCGCAAGAAGGATGACGGCACGACCTGTTTCGGATCCGATCTGTGCACTGGGGCCCACCGTGCAGCCCGAACCCTGGCTAGCCTGCGCCTCGATGGCCCGCGGAGCCCGCGCGGATCGCGCGGATCGCGAGGGTGACCACCCAAACAGGCTCGTGCGAACAAAATCAAGAGGGGAGGTTCTTGGGCGGTCTTCGGCCTCCAGGGTTCCTCGCTGGGCCCCGGGACGCCCAGAAACGACTCGTGGCGGAGGCTTCCGGGAGAGCGAGGCCATTCTGCCATCAGCGTGTGCATCTTCACATGGATTTGCTTTTTCCCTGCCCTCTCCTCTCGCTTCTCTTCCCTGCTCTCTGCTTTCCCGCCTCTCCCTCCCATCCATGGGTAGAGCCGGTCAGACGGCGCTCGACAATGAGATTGGCCGACGTTCGCAGACAGGCTGAATGCATATGTGCATTTGTCACACTTTGTGTCCCATCTCGCTTCTTTCGCTCTCGCTCTCTTTCCTTTCTCATCTTTCGTGCCCGTCGGCATTTCAGAGCTCAGTTGGTTTAGACCGCGGCGCTTAAGGCGTACCAGACACGTCGCACACATGTGGGCTGATTGAGCACAGCGCAGGAAAAGACGGAAAGGATCCCCTGGCACAGTCGGCCGGTGCTTGCGCGACAAGCCTACGGACATTGTGCTATAACATCAGATATTCCATATTTACGCGCTTTCTGTCTTATCACTTGTACTTCTTCTCCTTAATCCATACGTGCATCTTGTTCTAGATTCTGTATTGGACAACGCGCGCATTTTTACAGTTTTCTCTGGTATCCACACCTAGCACAGTATCGTGAAGTTTGCAATGATCGTGTGGGAGAGGATCCTTACCAGTGGAATTCCATCTTTCGCGAGTCTGCCACGCAGCCGTCCAGCACTACAAGCTGCTGTTGCCACTGCTACCGCGTATGAGTGCGTTGCGTTGTGCTGCTTCGTCCTGGGGATAAACGTTGTACAAGAGCACACGGTGGACACAATGGCTGACATGATTGCACGCACGATTACAGACCGCATGATATTTGCGATTTCGATCTCTGAGAAGTTTGCCCTCTTCCAGAACCTGCAGACGTGCCTCGCAATTTCTCTGTCGTGGATTTTTCCCGTAAGTCAGAAGCACTACCGCAGACAACGCGTTCTTATCCCGCTCAGTACGTACATGTCGCACATATGTGGTCTACTCTGCATGATCATGTTCAATAAGCGCGCGCACGTGGGCACCCTCACACGAACGCTCCCATCATACGTACAACAATGTATTTTGGGCCACGGGGATTATTCTAACAAGCTGGGATGCCGTTTGTTTTGTTTTCAACTCTGGGGTATTTTGCGCACGTATGTTCCCGAAGATGATGGCAGAGGGTTCAATTACATCAATTTTTCCCAACTGCACCGGACATGGCAAACGGGGGAAACCAAGATAGCCAGGAGTTACAAAAACACAACAACTGGCATGCATTGTGGGGCTTGTGCACGGTTCGTTGAACATAGGTATGCAGCTTGCCGGCCAGACCACCAACTTGCTTGTCAAAGACGGTACAGATATTGGCGTTCCTTCCCGCTGGAGAGCCTGTATTTCGTAATTGTTGACGTGGGTGTTCACAACCCAGGCGTGCTATCCAAGGAACAGTACATCATCCACAAGCTACGTGCACCGACGCAGGTTTCGAAGGTTCGTTCTTCCCGCGCGCATCGTGCACCACACGCTCGTTGCATGTCTGGCACACGTCGTCGTAGACCATTCCCTGACTCCCGCAAGAAACAGGATCAGGAACCCTATGTAGAGAAGCACGTCGCCAACAACATCAACAATTTCCACATGAAGTTTCTGAACGGCACGGGGGCGCAACCCATTGGTAGGGACGATTTGGAATACTGGCAACGGTCATCTTTCAACCACTTGTATCGTATGTTCCTTCTCGCTGGCTCGCTCTCCCCCATCTACATGTACGAGTACCCGTTCCTTCTAGCTAAATGGATTGGTGGGAAAGGTGGTAAGTTGTTCGTTAAACTCCTTAGCAAATTTATGGATTTCCGCATCTACGTGTTCGTGCTATGGAGACTGTCCAGATGCTTGTTGTATGGTATTTATCGCGTCCGGTCCACCCGTAGGCTTCTATGGTGGATACGTGCTCTGCAGATCACGAACCACAGAGTGTTCCGCATCAATGTCTACAGAGTTCGCGGTGGGCCGACTGTGCGCGGCGTGAAGAACGCCTTGCGCAGATATCTCGCGGACAAGCCAGATGATTTTGCGAATTTTATCATGTCCCGAACGTATGTGTACAACGTATCGCCACCCACTTTCGCATCGAAGTACACATCTTACAGGAAGGCAGCGAAGCAGTTCGATCTTGACATGGTGTCCGACATGCATGCTGAGTATGTATCACATCTACGACATAGGCGTGACTGTCGTTTTGTGCAGCAGAATTGGAACGTACCTGTACACATGTCACAACATGATCTACGCGCGCACATGTACACGCAGTTCTCCGGATGGCTGGCACATTGGTGGTTCCCTGTGGGAGATGCGTACGACTCCGAGGTTTTATCGTCCGCATGTGCACCCAGTCCTTGGTATGCATCCGTACCCCCTGCGTACACATGTTATACAAGCTCGTTCTATTTTGGTCCTCGGCATGTTGCGAGTGTAGTTGACCACGACACGAACGCGCGCATGGTACGGTCATTCGACGGGTATTTTGTACAACTGCATGACGCATTTCTCTGCGATCCCCGACATTGGAAGTACCATCACGGACAGGACAGAGAACCCTTTCTTCGCCGTGTGAAACAGTTGCACGATGAGTATGTCCCCCGAGGATGGCAACTCAGTAAGCATACGACATGGCGCTTTGAGTGGTTAAGGTACGTGTACGTGAATCCAAAACGTTCCTGTTACGGTGGCGACGCTGGAAATGGAGCGTTTTCTTGCACGCGTGACCACCAACACGACCGACAAGTCGCTGCAAAACCAGGGTGCCCCCTGAAGAAGAAATCCCGATTGGCCGCCAAAGCCTTGCGTACTTTACAAAAATCGCAACATGGTTTTTCTTGGACTCTGTGGAGCATGCGTGACATTTGCCAGGTTGCCAACCAACGTTTTCGTGATCTACTGCCGTCTTCTGTACATGATGTGTGCGAGAACTGTGGAGCAGTGAAGCCAAGCGTGGTATCTGGGCGATGGGATGTGAATTCTTTCTTCCCCAATGCGGATCGAGCTGAGACCTTGCAGGCTGTTGAGGATCTGTGCAGCAGGGTGTCGCTGTGCACAGGGAAGTCAACAGTTACGATCCCTAAGAAAGGGGTGCGGAAACCATATCTTGGCGGGAACCTGACGTATCACGCTGCAGATCACGATGTTGTGTCCTTCGACCAGATCATTGGCATGGCGAAGTTCGAAGTGCACAACAGTTTCTACCGTCTAGGGGCATACGTACTAGAGAGCGTATCTGGACTACCCACTGGTGGCTGTATGTCTGAACCAATGGCAGCAGTTCTCCTAGGATCCAGAGTGCACCGGCTCCATAGTGATCGTGATTTCCGTCGGTGGTGCGGGTTGGACATATTAGGGTACGACGTTAATAACATTTTGTCCGTAATCCTACATGTAGACGACATGGCGGTATGTCCCAAATGCTTGTGTCTTGGGTGCCTGGAGAGATCTTTGGAGAGAGCCATGCCTGATTCACTTGGGATATCTCGGGAAGAATTGGGGCCGCATTTCCGGATGTTGGACACAAATTGGGATGTGCATGATACACATATTGACATATCGTACCACAATAAGAACAAAGAGTTCGCCATGGGTATTAGTAGTCGCCAAAGTGTAACTCGGATTTTACCTTGGTGGAAGAATAGCATCACACCAAACATGGATCTGTACACATACGCACAAGGTCGCATATCTCGTGTACAACATGTGTCCACAGATACAGGTCAAGAAGTGCAGGCGTATTGGGAGATGTGTGCGGAGTTCGTGCTCTTGGGGTACCCATTGCGCGTCGTCTACAATGCGCTCGCCCGTGTTCTTCCTTTGCGACAGACACCAGCACTTGTATTCATCCGGGATTTTCTGCGGAATGTGCAGAAAGAGATACGTAACTGACGCCTGATATTCATGAATCAATATTTTTATTTTTAGTTTCACTTCGAACGAGGAGCTTGCCGACAGCTTCATCATCGTTATGTTTGTTTTCGTGTTCCACATTTCTCCCCATACTCTGTTTCCCCATCACGTATTGGCTCTACATATGTGACAGCACATCCTGTTTTTCACTGGGCCAGGAGCGAGACCCCGATTGTTCAGCCATGTCGTGGCAGCAGGGACAGAATTCGTGGCAGAATTCGTGGCAGAACGGCTGGGGCAACGGCAACCAGTACCAACAGCAGGCCCGTCTCCACTGGTCCGGCCTGACGACGGAGGAGCTCCGGGCAGCCGGAGAGGCCAAGAAGAACCAGGATATGGAGCAGACAGTGAGCAGGTGCATGTCCAAGCTCGTCCCGCAGCTCATGGAGAAAATGAGCAGCAGCAGCGCTGCCGGGCCGGCTGGCAGCAGCGGCCCCCGCGGCGACTCGGGCGTTTTCACTGCGCCGACGCCGCTGCGCAACGAGGTGGACCCCGCCCTCGTAGACGCCGTGGCGGAGAGGCTCAGCAAGAGGAAGTCTGGGGCACTACCTGCGGCGCAGGCCCCAGCGCTGAAGCGCACGAAAGGCTCAGACGTCCGCGTGCCCAAGAAGACGACTGACACGGTGCACCCGGTCATCTTGCTGCACTGGCAGGCGAGTCTGGGCTGCGCCAGGCTGCCCAAGGCGAGCACCACGGACTCCGTCGTGGCAGCGGTCCTCCCGGACGGCGCGGCCGTCGCCAGGGCCGCTGAGAGCTTGAAGGCTAACGCGGCCCACCCGCTGGTGAAGCAGCTGGGCAAGAAGCCGCAGAAGGAAAACAAGCTCAGGGTCGCACTCATGCTCTGGGCCGAGGATGCCGTCGAGGCGTGCGGCAACGACGATGACGAGGACGCCGACAATGAGTAGGGACAGCGCGGTGGCGTCCTATCACAGATCGGAATCATCACTCGCAGATTTGGTATTTGTTCTTTGTACTGTGCTGTTTTGTACGCTGTGTACTGTGTGGGAGCGATTGCGTGGGAGCCAGTTTGGAATGTCGTGTCGGAGAGCAGCGTCCTCGCGCTGCTCACGGGCGGTGCCTTGGGGACTGATGCACGCCTGAACGCCTTCGACGTGGCTGTGGTCCTCGCGTTTGCCTACTGCACCCGCTGGCAGACTCCGTGGGCCGGGGCTGCCGGTTTGGCAACAGCGGCAACGATGTACTTGTCTCCATCGATGCCATTCTGGTTTCGCGCTCTGCTGTTCGGGCCGGGAGCTGAGAACCCGAGTCAGCACGCCATGCAGTTTCAGCCGTACATGCACAGTGCGCCTGGGCCACAGCCAGGCTTCGCGCAGCAGGCCCCTTGGGTACAGCAGGGGTACCCGGTGTATGCGTGGCAGCAGAACCCGTACGCCACCATGCAGTGGCAGCCGCCGGGCTATGCTGCAGGCTTCCGAGATGATTTACACGGCCGCTATCCGCGTCAGTGGCCGGGACAGTGGAAGTGGGAGTGATTCTGAGACCGATCTGCGTTCGTGAGGCCGTCACCGTAGGATGACGCAACAGCATTGCAGGTGTGTGAGTTTTCATGAATTCACGTTGTATCATGTTGTTATTCCCTGCTCTGCTTTCCCCCCCTCGCCCCCTCTTGACTAGACGGAGACATGGCATCCCTTTGAAGAGGCTTCGGGGTGAATGAAGCCAGCCAGACCTTCTCCGGGAAGGAATGTGTGTGCAGTTTGCTCTTTCTCTCCCTGCCTTTCCCTCCCTTCGCCTCCTTCTCCCCTCCCTTTCCCCCCCCCTCCCTGACCCAATCCCTAGCCGGAGGGATGGCACTTCTGTTGAGAGGGCTCAGGGCGTCATGAGCTGAGCAGGCTGTTTCATATATTGCTTTGTTGACACAGGTCCCACCAATCTTCTCTCGTGTGCGAGCGGTCTGACAGCATTCCACAGAGAAGGCTTCCGGGCGAACGAAGCCTGTTTCTTTCATGGCGGAGGCTTCCGGGAGAGCGAGGCCATTCTGCCATCAGCGTGTGCATCTTCACATGGATTTGCTTTTTCCCTGCCCTCTCCTCTCGCTTCTCTTCCCTGCTCTCTGCTTTCCCGCCTCTCCCTCCCATCCATGGGTAGAGCCGGTCAGACGGCGCTCGACAATGAGATTGGCCGACGTTCGCAGACAGGCTGAATGCATATGTGCATTTGTCACACTTTGTGTCCCATCTCGCTTCTTTCGCTCTCGCTCTCTTTCCTTTCTCATCTTTCGTGCCCGTCGGCATTTCAGAGCTCAGTTGGTTTAGACCGCGGCGCTTAAGGCGTACCAGACACGTCGCACACATGTGGGCTGATTGAGCACAGCGCAGGAAAAGACGGAAAGGAAACGACTCGTGTAAAGAAACGGTCCCCAGGAACGGGCCAGGACTTCTGGTAGGAGGGCCCCAACCATACACCAACACCGATCCTGGCCAGGATCACCCTGGGCCCAGGATCGGTGTATACGCCCTCCTGCCTTGGGCAAGAAGGCATATACACCGATTCTGGGCCCAGGGTGATCCTGGCCAGGATCGGTGTAGGTGTATGGTTGGTGCCCTCCGATCTGGGGACCTCGCTCCGAAAAATCAGGACGTCACCTGCCTGGGCAGAAGCTGGACGCAGCTGCATGTACCTCCTCGGCACTCTCACGCCGGCCTTCACGGCCTGATCGAGCCCCGTCGTCCTCTTCTCGCCTTCTTCTCGCTTTCGCTCTCGGGCCTGTGCTCGCTTCCGGTGCAGCCCACCGCTCGCTTTGATCGGCGACTGACCGTCTCGCACACCCTGGCGCCCGCGGACTTAAAAGTCTGGGCAGAAGGATCGTGCGGATCGCGAGGGTAACAGGAGGAGGCGGCGGGGGGAGTTCCCTGAGCTCCCAGCGTTGCAACTTCCCTTCACGCAAGAGGTTTTCTCTCCTCCCCTCGATTCTCGAACTCACCCCATTGACCCTCGAACCTCGACCTCCTCGATCCTCGACCTCCTCGACCCTCGACCTCCTCGACCCTCGACCTCCTCCTCGACCCTCGACCTCCTCGATCCTCGACCTGCCTCTCGGAGGAACGCTGCTTCATGCAGAGGACGTGTGTGGTCTCGGCAGGCTCTGCTAGGGCGCCGGTCAGGAGTGGCTCCTCTCAAACGCAGGAGGCACCTGTCTCGCCGCTGCCTCGAACGGAATCGTCGTAGCGCGGATGACGCAGCACCCCCGCACCGTTACCAACAGCCCTGGACTATCACATCCATTCGAAAATCCCTAAACGCTTTGCGGCAACGGCAACTCGGCCCGGGGTTCCTCTTGTGGTGGACGCACGGTGTTTTGTCACGTGTACGTGTTAGCGCCAGGCCGTGGGCTTTTGAGACATCCAAGGGACATGTGAGATCCATCACGACTCGGGACGAAGACTACGGCCTCGACCACGAGCCTCGACCTCCTCGATCCTCGACCTCCTTCCCTCGATTCTTAGCCTCATCCCCTCGACACTCGAACCTCGACCTCGTCGATTCTTGACCTCCTCCCATCGCTTCTCGAACTCATCCCCTCGACCCTCGAATCTCGACCTCCTCGATCCTCGAACTCCTCCTCGGTCCTCGACCTCCTCCTCGACCCTCGACCGCCTCAGTCCTCAACCTGCTCCTCGATCCTCGACCTCCTCGATCCGCGACCTCCTCCCCTCGAGTCTCCACTCTCGAACTTCGACCTCGATCACCGATCCTCGACCTCCTCGATCCTTGACCTCCTGGATCCTCGACCTCCTCGGCCCTCGACCCTCCTCCCCCCGGGGGAGGCGGCCTGTCCGCGAGGGCCGCCGCTGCCAAGTCCGCCTCGCACGGCGCGGCCAGAGGCCGCGGAAGGGGTGGGGCGGTCGTGGTGGCGGTCGTCGTCTCCTTCCTCCCATCATACTCTTGATCCTCTTCTTCATCTCGTTCCTCCTCCTCCCCCTCCTCCTCTTCCTCCTTGTGCTTATTGAGTTGGACAAAGGCTGGCTGGCATGAACCGTCGCATCTCCGCCTTCCCCCTCATCGTCCTCCGCTTGCTCTCAACCACGACTCCTCCCTACCTCCCTCCCTCCCTCCCTCCCTCCCTCCCTCCTCCCTCCTCCTCCTCCTCCTCCTCCTCCTTCTCCTCCTCCAGTCCTTTTCCTAATAAATAATGATACCAGAGAAAAGGCCCAGTCATAATCCGTTCAAATGATATAATGCTATGAGGCTATAAGGCTATGGGCTTTAGGGCTAGAGGGCTAGAGAGCTAGAGGGCTATGAGGCTATACGGCGATAGGATTAAAAGGGTATAAAGCTATGGAGCTATTAGGGCGATCGGGTTATAAAGCTATTGGGGCTATAGGGCTATAAGGCTAGAGGGCTATAACGCTTTAAGGCTCTAGGGTTATAAGGCTATAGGGCTACCGGGCGGGCACCTGGGCACCCCCGGGCACGCCCGGGCACCCGGGCACCCCCGGGCACCCGGGCGTGCAGCGAAAATCGGTGGCAAACCTAACCTAACCATATTAATCCGCTAGCACCCCTACAGAGGCAAGCTCTGTCTGGGGAACTTCTCCCTGTCGCAACCCGGGGCCAGTTTTTAGGGTGGTCTGGGCGTTTCGCCTGAGACTTCCTAAGCATTTACGGTCCTGAAGCTTAAACGTTGACTTCAATTTCACAGATGGAGGGCGGCTCCTTTTCAACACGTTGCTCTCGCCCTAGCGCCGCGCACGTTCGTTGTAACGCATTGCAAGAGATTCACGGATTGCGCGCGGTTCCTTTTCAAAATGTAGCTCTCGCCTTCGCGCCGCGCACATTCAGTTTTTTTGTGAAACCTGTAAGAATTCCACGGATCCCCACGATCAGCGTACCAAACCTTGTGATTCAGAAGGGTGCAGTATTATGAGGGCGCAACGGTTACGCCGATTTGCGGTGCTGCTGCCCCACGGATGGCGTTCTGGCGCGATCCACGATCGCCAAGACGCAACAGTCGTGGCGTTGGAATCCCGAGAACGGTTTTTTGACATGAATCAGGGTCTTCAAACGGTTGACTTCCAAAGAGTCAGCTCCCTCAGTGGAAATGAACCCTTGTAGTGGGCCTATGAAGAGGGAGTTCGGAGGGAAGGTATCTTCCAACATCGTTGATGACTCTTGGGTTTACGCTGGTCCTCCTCCACCTCCTCCTCCTCCTCCTTCTCCTCGGTTCACTCCTCTGTCTCTTCTTCCGTTTCCCAAGATAACTGGTGCCCCCCCTTCTCCTCCACTGCGATCTGCTAAACTTCCTTGATCAAGGGAACTCGCCGTGTGATTGCTTGTGGGTTAGCTGGTGGGGATACGGGACTCGCCAATTCTCTCTTCGGTCCAAATCCTTTCAACACACAGCTGGAAAGACATCAAATGGGCCCTGGGTGGCAGAAAGAAGGAGGAAGGATGAGGGGGCAGGCTGAGGGAAGAAATCCTTCTTCATTCTCCTCCTTCATTCTCCTCCTTCCACAATACTGGGCCCATGGAGATTAATCGGTTTTTCGACGTCTCCGGGCACTCATTGGGGTGTTCGGGCATGCCGCGAACCCCAATATCCGCGAGATAGCATGCCTTTAGATATCTTATACGCATGCCTCTCATCGTGTGAACGGATCTGTGGTGCGCTCCGGAAACCTGGAGTCCGCCAAACTGTGCATCCCCTCTCTTGCCATCCTCTCCCGTTGGCGGAAGTTCCCCTGTTTTGCTCCCGCCGCCTTCCGTCGAGGAAGACGCGCCAGGTTCTCGACTCCTCGAACGCGAGAGCCTGCCTTGAACGCCTCATGTGCGCCTTGATGTCTTGGAAGACACCACCTGTCAAAAACCTATCCTGCCCAATCGGCCAAGGCGGCCAGCCCTCCTGAGCAACTCCTCCATCCAACCCTGTCTGGGGTTGTTCCCGTCACGCCAGGAAGCTGGAAGCACACATGGCTGGATTCACATGTGACATGTAGGACACCTGCAAGCCACGCGGCGGAGGCCGTTTCTGAAACGCTCCATGTGTGTCCAGGTGTTGACCAGGCCTGGCACGTCACGTGTATCCGGGTACCCGATCATATTATGTTCCTTCTTCCTCGGCGCGGGCGGGCCAGCCGCCTGGTCGTCCCCGGCAAGGGGCATCGCGAGGCCCGCGTAGTCTGCCGGAAGCAATGTGGCCAGCGCGCCTCGGCGGTTACACGTGTTGCTGCTCCTCCTTCGCCATCCATCCCTCTTCTTCCCTCCTTCCATCCCTCCTCCTCCCTCCTTCCATCCCTCCCCCCACCCTCCTTCCACCCTCCTCATCCGTTCCTCCCCCTTCTTCCTCATGTCATCCCACTCGCCCTCCTCCTGTCCCTGCTCATCTGCTGTGCTGTTGATTCTGTTGGTTTGCACTTCCCCAATCCTCGCTTGAAACGTTGACACACTGCGCAACCCAGGTCGATCAAACCTCACCTGGACCCCCTGAAACGTTGACGCACTGTGCAACCCGGGTCGATCAAACCTGGCCTGG